CAGGAATAATATATGTGATCCATCTGCACGGTCTAATTTGAGGTTTGTGCTTCAAGTTTTCCAATCTCAACTCACAAAGAAAGTAGCCTCAATTAAAACTTTCAACTCTGCAACAAGTTCTGGTAGAATAACAAGATGACCTCCTGTACTGTGCTGTACATCAAACTGTTGGGCTATTCTAGGCAGTTTGTACTCCAAAATCACAGTCTCTCAGATAACGTAAAGGATCAATGCACACTGAGCCCCCTTTAAGCTCTCACACCAATTTCCCTGAAACAAAATTCCAGACATATTCTCTGGTTAATGAAAATCACATTTTAAATTTTGCAAATGAGTTTATGCCAGACGTTTTTCAGTTTCTGGAACCATGTACTGTAAATTCTTTGCCTGGCTCTATTTCAATTTTAAAGAATTTGCAACACTGGCATTATTTCACTCAGTTATAATTTCCCAAGTACGATCAAGAGAACAATGTCTTGTACTCGTAGATAACAATATTGCAGATATGCTACTACTCAACGTTGCCTACAGAGTTTATAAATAAAGGGAAATATTTGCAGAGATGGTCATTTATATTATAGTTTTGCAGTGTTTGTGCTTTAGGACTTCCTATATCCCACCAAACAACAGAGAATATTATATTTCCTATCATTGAAACTTGAAGGGGTGCAGTGGAATTGCAAACGATTGCAATATAATAAATATAACTTGCATACTAAATGAACAGTTGTTTGTCTTAGCTAAAATCTTTTGATTGTCATCACTCACTGCTAACTCTGTTCTGTCTGAACTCATAATGGCTTATATAATATGTGTAGGCAAACAAAGGATGATGGAAATGATGATGATGTAATTTCTGACTGCCTCTGTAACAAGTTTAACAGATTTCATTACTCCCTTACACAGCACACTGACAGCCACCCAGAATGGGCAACAATTTCTTGCCAACCAAAACTATGCAAGGTTGTCAAAACCAACCTCTGCATCCATGACTCAACAGTGACTATGTAGGTCAGCACCGTCTGACAAGCTCTAATGCTTGGGGGGTGTTACTGCACATTACAGAAGCAGACACACACACACACACACCTCAACTATTAAAGGTGAAACCCAGTCAGTAAATGTACAGAAAGAGGTCATGAACGTCTAAGAACTAATCCAGTAATACAGCAACACCGACGAGGAGGACGCAACAACACCATACAGCTTACTTCATCTCAACTGACAACAATAAGATTAAGTGAGGAGTAAGAATCCAGAAATCTCCTGAGATAGTAATCAAGCAGAACATTAGGGTTTTATTCAAAGATAAGAACAAAATCCTGATTAAAATAATCAGTGATACTGGGTTTTCATGGCCAATAGCCATTTTTAAGGAGTTTTAAAAAAAAAAATATGATATTATATATATTTATTCATTAATTGTTTTTTTATCATTTCGGTGTCCAACTTACATACAATTTAGACACCGCATGGCTCTCCACCACCAACTACAATGATGCAAACTGGAATGTAAAGCAGATAGCGCTAAGGGTCTAACAGCAGAATCAGAGAAACACTACTCTTAAAACATTGACAACATTTTTCATTTAGCCCAACGATCTTTTCTGCCTTTTGTTCTGCCAGATGATATGAAGAAACATATGTAACACATACACTGTATAATATATCAGTGCTGCCATTCTTAAAAAATAAATAAATAAAAACCCTCACAACCCACACATAGACAAATTTATGCATCTGGGTACCTTGGATAGTAACATGTAGTCATTCAGAGGCACAAGAAGCAACCCAACAGTTTCACTCCTCAGGATAGTAACTATAGACAGGTGGGCTCATCATTGTAAGATAAATTATTATTTTGTAAGAGAAAGCACAACAGTGCACTGGCCACAAGGAGTCCATAACTACTGCCTTGTGGGGCCCTGCTTATCATCAGCAGCAATTTTTGTGTCGCAAATATTCCCTCAACAGCCTTTGATGTAATTACTTTCCAAACAGCTACCCTCGAGCCCATATCCTGTTCTAAATTCATGGCTTGACTTGTTCACAACGTCACTGGAACACACACGTTTTTCATTTGTTGCCTTCTAAAAAACACAGTGCAGTTCCACTTCCACCAGGGAGACGACCTGCAAATATTTAATAGTACTATGACAGACAGTAAACAGGTGAATTGCAGAGTCTGATAGTGCACCAGAAAACAGCTACATATAATTAAAAAGTGGGAGAAAAGTGTTGTGGCCAAGTTTTAAACTTTGTGAGGGTGAAATGTAAAGGAAGGGAAGGTAGGGATGCAGCTCATCTCGCAAAAAGGAACAACTACCTAACTTGGTCTTTTAATGGATGAATGAAGTTCATTTAATAAATGAGCTTCATAAAGAGACTACAAAGCAAACAGAGACTAGATCTACAGGTACAGAGTGCCATCTGCCCTTTTTCACAGTGCTTCAGAATTGCTCGAGTTGCTTTGCAATGTACTGTTTTCATTGTGTTTTGGAGAATGAAGCGTTTCAAAGAGTGAAATGTTCTTTCTTTTATTCGTGTACTCTCTTCTTAGATTTAAAAAAAGACAAAGTTGTTTTGGAAGCCTTACATCAGATTCTGTGACAATTGGAACTTCATTGGGAACAAAGTGCCTGGCCATCAACCTTGACTAAATTGCACAATACAATTCCACTTCTAGGCTTCCAAACAGGCAGAATTATCATTTTGAACAGCCACAGATAATTTGGCCTAATGGAACACATTATCACACTACAATGACCAGAGTTTATTTCATCTTATAAAAGATTGCTTCAAGTCACCCAATGTGCCAAGGATCACAAAATAAAGGTTATGAAATGAATGTGACCTTTAACAAGATATTTGTCAATGCTTTCACAGATACATCAACATTTTCATTACGACTTGATGAAATCTGCTTCAAAGGGTGCGTACATATTTTGGGTGGTGCAGAAAGGGGAATGCATTTCTGCTCATGTAACTTGACAAATTGTGCTTCAAGGTTTCTATTTATATCTTTCTCATCTCACAGGAAGGGTAGAATCTTCCCAATTCCCTTGCCGTTTGCCAGAGGCTTAGTGTGACATATTGCTAATCTGGTTATTATGCAATTTATCAGCCGTCTCTCTTTTACAGCCGTGCATGAATATTATGCAGGTTTCTCATGAGCCAAACTGCAATAACACTGCAAGGAGCTAATGAGCAACCACTACTACTGTGGTAATATATCTCAAGTCACTTCAGGGTACTCTTGTTGCAACAACTTGTTAGTCTAAGTCACTCCATTAAACTAACTAAATTATTTTTTTGCTAATGATATAGAAAGCCTCTCAGGCTGGAGCCAATGGATTGTGACCAAAACAAGGAGCGAAGAACTCATCAGTGTCCTCTGTTTGACAGCAGATACTTCAGGAAAGAGAAGTTAGAGACCTTGCTGCAGACCAAAAGACTTGCTTAACTGGCACTCTGAATTGATGCAAGGGAAGGAGGAATCTCAGCAAGGATTCATTATTGCCTCTGGCATCTCTCAACATATGAGGTATAGCCACAGTCACCAGTGGAAGCTGTTTTTGCAAAGTGAGCACGATTTGATACGGATGACAGATTGAGTGTGGCCTGAAGCAAACATCTTCCAGAGTCTTAGATGGTCATCCTTTTCAGAAGCGGCTGCGTTTTTGTGCCACCAGCTAATTAAGAGTGGCCCATCATTAAAGACGCGTAAATCAGACCTTAATGTGACTCAAGAGCCTTGGTGAGACACCGGGCAGAAAAATGTGGTCCTCTGATTTAATGGGCCCTGAACTGAAGGAGATATAAGTCTTGATAATGATAGTCAAGTACAGTGTATTGATCACGTCTCCCACTGGAGTCTATGTGGGTTAAAACAGCCAGCTCGGAAATTGAACAGGGATTTCTCGACTGTGTAGAGCAATCTTACAGAGAGGCGGGATGGTCAAAATAACCTGACTAATGCATTTCTCCAAGACAACTGTGGTTCACTTTGTCACTTCTACAATATACTACAATAGACAAAGTGCTATCTTTCCAGCAGGCTAAGTTGCAGATGACAAGAAACATATATACACAAAGGATAGCATGCTGTAAAAAGATCTATTATTTTTAACTGTTTAATTGTCAAAAGGATTAAGATTCACACAGTGGACACAAGCGCTAAATTACTGTTAGACTCTGCAACTGGCTATGCTCTCCATACAATTCCCTTCCCTGTCACCACGTATTCATGAGTGCGCTAAATGCTGGCTGAGGCTGCTCTGGGAAATTGTTAAGACAGTTGGAGCTTTCTCTAATTACAAGACAACAGTGACAAAAGTTTGACATTCAGTGGTTTGGCATTTTGCATTCCCATCATTATTGTAATGAAACATTAAACATTTATCATATACGAGCTGGGGAGGAATCATTTTTCCCGATGTCATTAAGATTTTGGTTAATTATCATGGCCCATTGGGTCCAGCACCGCCTGCAATGTGCTACTATCCTCTGTCCATTATCCACAATGTAATTATCAACACATGCTGTCTAGCCACCATTACAGCATTTTCTCTTGGAAACATGTTTATAATTATACCTCAAGATGTTGATTTGCCAAATGCTGTTAATGGAAAGCTCCTGTTTGCCTGGAGTTGAAATCAAAAGCCATTTATGGAGGCACTTGAGAGTGCTATCTGCAATTACCTGTTCAGTGTTTTCAAAACCACTTTTCTAACACTTTTTTTTAAATCTCAGAAGACTTTGAATTAAAAGTACAATGACAATATCCCATCTTGGCGTAATGGTTGGCAATCTTGTATCTGTCACACTAAAAACAGGAACTTTCAAAAATGTGTTTGTCTACCATCCATCACGAGTCTGATTGATGCACACATTAAAACAGATATGGTTATCGTGTTACAAAATATACACAACAGTGTCAGAAAATCAATCAATTTCTCAGACACAATGTTCACAGAAAGTTGCAAGAAACAAGTGCCTACCTGACCAGACTAGACCGGACTGAACCAAACCTCAGAATGAGATCCCACATCCTGTGCGCATTTCCTGTTTACAAAAATTCAAAAATAATGTAGAAGAATATGGATTTTACTTAACCAAAAAGTTGCAAGAACACTGTCTTAAATGGTTTCAAATACAAACAAAAAGAAAAAAAAATTACAAGTGTCCCTTTCATGGGTTAGTTTACTTTTTTTGACCTCTGGCGTCATTCTGGACCATCATCTACTGGCAAATGATATACAAAAAAGGTCTTTAATACATTAATGCTAGCTAATTTTTAAGTATAATTTTAGTGTTTTCTTTATTAATTTAATAATCTAGTTCTCTTTTTAGCTAGCATTAATTATATTTTACAGGGTGCTGCTCGTGCGTGCTAGCTAATTTGGTCAGCAAGCTGCATCGATAAATGCACAGGTGCACCGAGATACATAATTAGACAGCTTAAAGCTCACCTCTCGCTTCTTCGTCAGGCTGTAACATACAGAAAGCCATAATATAAATGTCAGACGATTTCATTAAAATCCTCCCAAAAACGCCACAAAAGTCAAACTAGCGAGGTGAGCCATAACAGACTTCAACAGCAGGTGTAAGGAAAGTTGCCACGTCACGAAGCCCAGTATCACGATGGATTGCTCATTTGAAAAAATAAAATAATAATTAAGACGCCCAAATTTTTTTTTACTAGTTTGTAAAAGCTTTCAAAAACTGAGAATTTTAACACATGAATCTGCTGAGACTGACTCGCTTTTAGAGCCAGCCTCAAGTGGTCATTAGAGGAACTTCATTTCTTTTTCGGGGCTTCATGCCGAGAGGTGAAAACACGAAAAATAAAAAGGACATAAAAGGGCTTTCCAAGGGTATAAGATTTATTGCCAAGAAGCATTGTTACAACAAAGAAACAAATAGACCAAGCACAAATCTGTCTTTTTGTGCTAACCTGTGCTAACCTTTCACCTTTCAGCCTAGATTGCTAGTCTGAAAGGTGAAGCCAAATCAACCTCATATCTGCATGCTTTTTAGTGGCCACCAGGAGGCAACCCCAGTGTGTGCAAACAGGCTTCCAATCCTATAGAACTCTATGGGAAAACGCATCAATGCTGACCTTATTAAAACACTTTCCTGGCCAGTTGATGGGCTCAGTCACTCCTTGGAATAACCAAGTGTCTTAAATGATATGTTCATTTACTAATGCTTCTTGATTGATTCATTTAAAAAAAAAAAAAAAACACCTAGGTAGCAGCAGCAAAAACACTTATCTCAGCATTTCATAAAGAACTTAAAAATCAGCAGGTTGCTTCAGTATTTAGTTTCATGCACATATATTTTTTTCACCACTTCAGCTACTGGCTGGAATGTTGTTTTTGTTGTTTTAAAAAGAGCTGAAACCCTTAAAAGTTGCTTAAGTTTTTAGTTATCTGTGTGTTCTTTCACATGGTGTTGTAAATTTAAGAGCATTAATGAATATTTAAAGGCAAACAAGGAACACTTGTTGACTTTGAGTGTTACTCACTCAAGAAACCAATCAGTGTTACTGCACATTCGTATTCATCCCAAAAATATGGAACTCACAAATTAATAATATAAATAACATGTAAAAATAGGATCCTAACTTTGGCTGTGAACATGCAAGTTTAGATAAAAGGGAAAAAAATTATTTGGTCAGATATGACAGCGCGAAAAAATTAATGAGCATTTTTCGACATCACAGAGGTACATGCTGTCATATGGCTGGGAAGCATTTCTTTCACGCTCCCAGTGTGTCCGGTGATGACAAACAGTAGGAAGAAGGACTGAACGCAGCAGTGCTTTTCCATTGCCTTTTCCATGTCTCTTCTCCTGCTGAGATGCAAGTACAAGTGTGCTAGTCTACGTATAACACGGTGCCTTTCAGGTGCAGGCATTAATTACTTGTTTTGTTTGTGAGTCCTTCCATTGCGTCTCATTTTTTGTGGCACCTGACAGTGGATCGTTGCCCAATCAGTCGTGAGCAGTCCTTTGGTCTCTTTTTTTAAAATCTCATGTTCAATTACCAAAAATTCAAAGTCACATGATGCACACTACTCACAAATGGCAAATCTAGCCATCTGTCTGTGGCTTGTTGCAGTTGGCTAGTGGGAGTAATACATGAACTCTGTGGGCAAGAAATTACATTTCCTGTTTAAAGTACTGAGCATTATATGTGTTGTATTAAGAAATATGAAAATCAAATGTCATTTCCTTTAACAGATGCACTTCTTGACGTCAAATTTGATGCCTTTAACCTATTTATCATTTATGATAAAAATAAAATAAAATAAAAATATGCTGCTTTTAGGACTTGAGGAAAACTCGCAAATGAAATCCACATAGTTCTGCTGATGCATGATATATATAACTTCAGTTATCATTCTAGATGACAAAAGAAGACTTCTGGCATTAAATCTGGATTTAGTCAGGCTTAATATAGATATAATTGAAGGAAAAAGTGTCCAGCTAATGTGCTAGACTTGCTCAGAGGAAAAATGAGCCCCCCCTCCACCCCCCAGCACACACACAGTTATTAAAAAGTTTTTTTGTTTTGTTTTTTTTGTGCAAAAGTTAAATCAGTACCAATCTCAGGCATGTGTATATGCTGTTTCCAGTAAATACATACCCTAAAGCTTCCCATGAGGATTGCAGAAAGTATTTCTTATACTACAGTAATATATGACCGCATAGAGTAAAAACACATTTTGATGTTTCCTTTACATCTGTACTCTTAAATCTGTCTCATTTAGCCACCATATTTCGTGCCGGACAATACATGACTGAGCAGTGGAAGAAAATGCACTGTATCAACCAAAGCACAGTTCGTCATACTAACTGGTTTGTAAATGTAACAAAGGCCGTGAAACTGAGATAAAAAGTTCCATTCTTAAGCACTATTTTTTATTTTATTTTATTTTTTTCCATAAAGCAGCTACTTGACAAACAGTTTCTCCTTTAGTTAATCAAGACAATGACAGGGATGTTTGATTCAAAATAAAATGAGCCCCTGAGACACGTTGAGAGCCATGTTGACTGATCACAAATTAAGTGTATGCTTACTGAAGATTTCCCAGTTGCCTTTGACTTTGGGGAATCTCATAACTTTCACAAAGAGGCTGTCTTGAAGTTTGGGCATCAGTGGGAAATTTATATATTTTTATGTATTTTGGTGCTTTATGCCAACTCCACACTGAGTACTCAGGCTTTCTCCCAATATCCAGAGGCATACAATAAGTGGGGTTAGGTTAACTGGTGATTCTAAATTGCCCATGAGTGTGAAAGTGAGTGTGAATAGTTGTCCATCTCTCTGTCTTAGCACTCCATTAGAATGGTACATTGTCCAGAGTGTATCCTGCCTCTCACCCTATGGTAGCTGGGATAGGCTCCAGTCCTCCTGCAACCTGATTAGCAGAAGAGGATGGATGGATGGATGGATCCTCAACATCTAGGGTTCCCCTGAGCAGCTGAGGAGAATCTGAGAACTGAGCTAAATGATGCCTTCAAAGCAGGGTCTGTAAGTCTATAAAAAAAAACATTACACATCAAAACTACAGTATATCAGTTTAGACCATGCTTAGAAAATGTCAACCTTGCAAAGAGCTGTCACGGGATTGGTGGATTTTCAACTTTACAGTATTGATGTAAAAACAACCCTAAATGTGACCTCACACAAAAGTCTTCTTTTCAATTCAAAGAAAAAACATCCGAGTATATAAGAGATTATAACAGAAGAATAAAGTGATGGCATTAAAACATCTATCCAAACACCTTAAATTTGTTCTGGTTACTTCTTTAAGGAGTAGAGTATGCCACACCTTTTTATGTATAGAAACACGCTCCATATGATCCTTATGTTTAGTCTGTCAATTGTTGTTGTGTAGCTCAAACTGCCAGCTTTCATTTATAAGCGAATAAAACATGTAGTGGCTTCACTGTGATATGCGACACTTTCATATTTAAAGCAGGGTCATGGGGAGTTTTAACAATCCTCCTGAGGAAAACTGAACTAATTTTCATGACCAAACACAGCTGTCAACTTCCAATAAAAAAAGTAGAGGAAAGAGATACAGTGCCCAATATAAAAGTAAAATGACCTCACTTTTATTTTCCTCCAGCTATTTAAAGCATAGCGGGTCATGAAAATGAATGCCAATGAACAGCAGTGTTCATTCATTATTCTTATCAAGTGTGACAATCCAAAGTTTATCAGATATGGATTCCTGAGAGCAAAGACAACAGAGGAAGGCTTGGATAATTTGGCTGAAATAGCAAGTAGCTCCTACACAACCCCACCACAGCTTCCACTCCCCCACACTGAGCTTAATCTTTTATTGAACAACCTGAATAACACAAATGAGTTCGTGCATCTTTATTTGTAACATTCAAAGGGACCAATCATTATCTTTTAATTACTAGTACCCAGTAGTGGGGCCCATTAAAGCAAAGTAATTAATCTAACACTTTGGCAAGGGAGGGGATCTGCTGTACAAACAGCAAGTTTATTGAAACTGGTTTTAAGCTATAATATTTATACATGAAGAGGAAGTGAACAACAAATTAATGGTCCAAACAAGGATTAAACTGAGGCAGTACAAAGAAGTGAAAATACTCATGTGATGTATAGAACACAATAGTTTATCAGAAGCCTTCTTCAGACAGTTCTTTTTATTTTCTGGTCCCATTGGTCAACAGAGCACTCCTGGCACAACAGATAAAAAGAGCAATAAACAAAGTGCAAGTATGTTATGAACATACATAATCCCCTGTGTAATATACATTTGCCTGCTTTTAGTATGAATGTTATATCCCTTGTTAACATATAAGTGTCTGTCCTAGCTATGTTGATGCCTGATTAGCATATCGGATTAAATCACTGTGAATGCAATGTTAGCTGTGCCGATGGTCCAGTTATAGCCATTAACTGGGCGAACCTAGCCAGGTCTCAAGGACAACAGGGGACTCCTAAGAGTCCACTTTTGTCAAATGTAGAAGCTGTAGCAGGAAACTGCTTCTAGAAAAGAAAAGAAAAATAACACTGATAAGCAGATTTACAGTCAATCACAAGATGCAGTATGACTAAAGATCAATATTTGTTAATCATTAGTTATTAGAGGCTGAAAATTAATAATTGCAGTATATTTGCCACTGAGGAAAAATGTTTTTGGTTGTACCTGATATTGTTGGTCATACACCATCCATAGTACATCAAGAACTGTGCATTCGAAAGTATCCTATAACAACAGAGTCAGGCTCAGTCTCTTCTCTGTTAAAAATAGTACGGGAGTTGTCGGGTGGCATGCAAAGGAAAAGGGGACTTAACTGTATTGTGGCTGGATCTGGCAAACCCGTATAGATCCATACCCTGCAAACGTCTTGAGCTAGCTCCACACTGACACCATATTCCCAGTGAAATCAAAAACCTCATCCTTGAGTATTATAACAACTTCTGACTAACAGTCACTGCTGGGTCAGGGACATCAGACTACCATCAGCTTGAAAAAGGCATCAATGCAGACTGCAACTCTCTCTCTCAAGGTAGGCCATGACAGCCTTCATGGCCTACCTTATGGTCATCAGCTCAGTCCCAAG